GGTAAGGAGAATGACATGTGTGGCCACCGGCACTGTAAGCAGCACTGCCAGGTCCCCTGGCTGCCGTGAAGTCCCCACAAGGCTGCCACAAGGTACCCAGCAAGAGCGGGACCTAACGCCAGCTGAATGTATTTAAAAATGTAAAGCATATTGGCACTTTATATCAGGGCATTTTCACGAGTATGAGTACTGGTATCAGTGCATTTATATACCACTATATAGATGTAGTACTATAAATGATATCACTGGCCAATACTGGTATCAGTGCATCTATATACCACTATATAGATATACTACTATAAATGATATCATTGTTCAGTTGTTGGCTAAAAGCTGAAATATTTTCATATAGTGCACTTCATTCTCGCCCACTTTTGTTGCATCATCTGCAACATGACATAACTCTTTACACAATTTCCCTTTTCATTTCTGCAAAATTCTTTGCACAAACCCCAACCTGTTTTTATTGTATTATTTTGCATCCGTATATTGCACTGTTTAAGGGGCACATTAAAAAAAAAACTCTGTCATGTGCCGCCAGTCCTCGGAGGTATTAGTGTCTGCGCATAGTTTAGATTGCTCCTATTGCTCGCTGCTCCAGTGTTTTACTGGTCGTCTAAAAAAAATTTCCAAGGTTCCCTCTTCCCCAAACAGGTAATCCACATTTCCAGGGCTGTCCCTAAGGTATTTGATGCCTGAGTCAATGTGCTGTCGTTCCAGGGGGTGGGATGCTGGCTGGCAGGGAATGGTCATGGGGTGGGGAGATGAGGTGCTGATATGTCATTTGGATAGGGCAGACGCTGGACTGCGCAGTCAGTGGCTCTGCCTGGTGCCCTGCTCACTCTCGCAAGCCGGAGCATCCCACTCAGCTCCTGGCAACCGATGACGTCAGTGAGCTGGGCAGAAAGCCACAGAGCGTCACTTAACAACCTGGGATGCTGTGGCCTCCCCCACAAAACGCAATGAGCCCGGGAGGCATCCAGATATCTTGAGAATAAGAAGATATCCCCATACCACCAACATTTGCCTGTGTATGGCCACCTTGACACAAATTCATCTGCAGTTCATATAGAATAATATTACATGCAACAGTGGTGGGTAGATGTTGAGTCAACAGACTAAAGTCATACACAGTTCAGACATGAGAAAAAAAAGGGTCAATGATGAGAGTTCAGATATGTGTCAGGAAAGAGCTAAGCCTCCTACAAAATTATTTTAGCTTTAGAAAATGGGAGTCTCTGTCTTCAGAGAAAATTGACCATATATGGTATGGAAGTTATTGTGAAACCAAAGAATAGAGAAACAGAAAGTGAAAATGCTTGCAGTTAGGCAGTAATCCTCTTCACTTGCAAGATTTCAACTTTATTTTTGTATCATTGACGGGTGCATGTGGACTTGTGTGTTTTATTTTGTTCTGAGAACATTAACAATAGGAAAGAGCCACAACAAATTTGGATCAGAGAGGGATATTACTCAATACTAATACAAAATGTTCCCATTTTAGTTTCCTAGTGGCACTCCCTCCTGTCCCTGACATTGGGCTAAACCTGTATAGCTGTTGGTCATGTAGTCAGGACATTTCCTGTAGCAGGTGGGGTCACTGTACCACACAGGGGGGTACAATTGCCGTTCTGCTCAGCACTTATTGTTTATGGGCTAGAAGAGTCTGGCAAATGCTTTTCCTGTGTCACGGGACTTATATTCCAGAACTTGGAACCGGCTGGCGAAATTTCCTGCAGTGTTCCCGAAGGCTCAGGACGTTCCAGTTTTGTTGAGCAATTGTTATGTGACAGAAGCACACAAAGTCCCATGACACACTGGATCAAAGTTAAAGGAAAATTCAGTTCTCAACACTGTTTGTTATAATCCTTGGCCACATTTGCTTTCCATGGAGGAATCTGGTCATTAGTAGAGTTCACCACACATGTTGAAATGTGGGCCTACAATCTCCTTTAGATTGGCTAAAACCTATGTAGTGTAAGGGGCCACATCATTACATTTACTGTTCATTTAATGGAGTGTTTAGGTATTCCCTGGCACTATGTTTGGGGAGGGGTTAAAGTCTTTGTCAAGTATGTATTGCTCTCCCTGAACTTTCCCTTTAAAGGAATTATTGGGGAAGGGCAGGTGTTCCATTAGTTTTTTCCTGCTGCCTTTGTCCCTGTTGGCGATTTCCCCTTAATTCATGTTCCGGTGACACCATTGCTACTGAGACAGGACATAAGGGGAAATGTGCCCAACCTGAAAGAGATAGCCCTAAAGTACAGCTAAGGGCTCCTGACAATCTAAACACATACCAAATCCAGTTACTTTGTATTGCACTAGCCTCATATAATAAACAAAACACTTCCTTTACCTCCCCTGACAGAGCCAAATCCTTCTTCATTTGTGTCTCACATGCTCCCCCTCCAAGACACTGCAGCTCACAGGGGATGAAGGTTTCATCAACAGAGGTAGTGCTGTCAATTCAGAAAGCTGTGGTTCGGGGCTAGGTGTGGTCAGGTGCTAATTAACAAGCTGCAGGCAGTGATAATAGCCATGCCCTCTGCAACATATTCTCATCCCACTGTAGTGCAAGCAAGCAGCCTACATGAGAGTGGCAACTTTGCTCTGAATCCACGAGCAGTGCAGCATCGTTGCCACCCCATCACAGGAAGCTGCATTAGGTGGACCTCACTGGCAGGCTTGACAGGTCCTGGAGCCTGCCAGCGATGGCAGGTTATATAGTTCTAATGGGAGGTCATAGTTCCAATTTCATGGAGGCCAAAGTTCTTTAATGGGAGGCCATAGTTCTACTTTTATGGGAGGCATAGTTCTAATGGGAGGTTATAGTTCCAATTTCATGGAATGACAACGTTCTTTAATGGGAGGCCATAGTTCTACTTTTATGGGAGGCATAGTTCTAATGGGAGGTCATAGTTCAAATTTAATGGAAGGCCAAAGATCTTTAATGGGAGGCCATAGTTCTACTTTTATGGGAGGCATAGTTCTACTTTAAAGTTTACAGTATGTATAGCCAAAACATTTTATGTAATCTTGGATAGGGTAGGGAAGGATTAGAATCCCTGTCAGCTATTTATTGCTGTCTGTACACCTGTAGGTAGGTTCACCCACTCTATTTGTCCTGGCGACCATTGTCACAGAGACAGAAAGTGTTGGAGAAACCAAAGTTTTAGGCTTGTGCCCAGAACAAGAGGTGAGGTTAGATCTCCCAAGGGGGACACCTGTTTCAGGAACAACTGTACAAAAGACTGTAGTCTATCCAACTAAAAAGGGCTATACATACAGAAGCACATAAATCCTCCCTATCCAAAGCTAGAAAGTTCTACAAGCAGAGTTACACTTTAAGTCCCACAATGCATTCATCCAGCAGCTCATGCACAGTGGCAGTTCCATCTGAAACCAATATTTTAGTTTTGTCTTTAGCAGAGAAATGGTTAATATGATATTACTAAATGATTCAAACTTCATGCGGGGTTTGGCGACTGTTCTCTAGCGCTCATGTTGAACGTTTCCAAATTCAGTGTTGATCCTCCAGACAATTAGAAATAATGACGGAATTGTTGGATTTCTCTAAGTAGAGAATTACAGTTTACAATTGCATATTATAAGCTTCAACAATCAGGCTACAACAAAGTGGGGAATGAGCTGGCAGGTAAGCAGTCTCCGAAGTAAAGAAAATAGGAAGTGAAACTGTTGTTATCTCTCTCTCAAGACTTTCCGTTGAACATATTGACACTTTATTTACATAAAACAACATTTAATCGGCCCATTGTACATGCTGCTCTGCGCTTCATACCGACTTTATATCAATGCTGATGTCCAGGCAAACAGCTAAGTACACAGTAAGAATACACATACTGTATATTATTACAGGTATTTATATAGCGCCGACAATTTACGCAGCACTTTACATAGTTGCACATTCACATCAGTCCCTAACCCTCAAGGAGCTTACAATCTAAGGTCCCTATATCACATGCATACATAGAGGGCCAACTTAGAGAGGAGCCAATTAACCTACCAGCATGTCTTTGGAGTGTGGGAGGAAACCGGAGTACCCGGAGGAAACCCACGCAGGCACAGGGAGAACATGCAAACTCCTTGCAGATAGTGATCCTGGCTGGGATTCGAACCGGGAAACCTGTCAAAGGATCTTTAATTTTGCACGGTGACAAAGGAATGTCATCTTTTGTCCAACATTTTGTATTTAACATTTTGGGACCAGTATACTTTAAACGACAAGTAAAGATAAAATTAACAGAATGACCCACAAAACTTACCAAAAATATATAAAATAATTTTTTCAACTTTTTTTGCAGCTTATTTTGGTCAGTTTTCAGGTATTATATTTCCAAAGGGTTTACATATTCATCCATAATTGTTATTAAAACTCTTCTACAATTGTATATTATGCCTGCCGACCCTTCAAGTTAACATCTTCTTTATTATTTTTGCACAGGTGGTTGCAGAAACAGAGGGTCCCTTACGTGACGATTCAACAGTAGAAGAGGTAATAATTGACAGAGGTAGACTCAGCTCCTGCTTTATTGAAGACTCCATCTAGAGCCAGCAAGGTTTTATGACTCCACCTCTTGCCCTGAGACTCAAACAGGACATCTGCATATGCATCTAACCCATGCCAACCTTGCACAGAGATCTTCAGCCTCCTGGAATGCAACTGACCTGTTAGTGGGAGCGCAGGAGGCTGTCATAAGAAAGGAATTCGCTAAAACATTCTTTAGCCTTGCTCCAGCCTCACTCACAAACAGCAATAAAGCACAAAGAGGTGGAGCACCTGCTTACAAGGTACACAATGCTCTTGTGGTGATGTTATTGTACAGATAAGCCTGTCTTCAAGGAACCCGTCTGCCTGGAACATTTGGGGATCTGCATCTCCTCCACAACTTCAAGAAGTGGAGAGCTCCAAAAACAGATCTTGGATTATAACTTTAGAACACTGTGATACGTTGGCATTTTAGGGATTTTGCACAACACCTAGAGATATGTATTTTACTTGAAGACGAGTTACCTGCGTTTGTATCTTGGACTGTTGGGCTTCGCTAAGGTGCTGGAGAGCATGGACATCCATTTAGGTCGACCTGCTAACCGAGGCTTCTCCAGAAGCAACGTTTTGCCAAACAGATATTTTTAAGTGTTAGAACGTTTCCACATTCCACAAGCCACATGCAGGGGGCTCTAGGAGAAAACAAAGTTGCGGACAGTAATGTGAAAAAAATTCTTATGTCCTGTCTGAAAGGGCAACAGGTCATCATCAAAATGGAGGCCATGAAGATCATACAGGCGGAGAAGTTCTCCGAGTGTCAGAACTCTCAGTCGCGTTATGGCCCTCCATCACGGAGGGAGCCCCCTCTAGTTGCCAAACGGGCCTGGCCTTCAGAATCAGAAATTATTGTCAACCAGGCCTGCGGAGAGATGCCTAGTTTAGAGGGCACTCCAGGCAGTTTGGGGCTTCCCAGGACGCCCCCTCCACCGCGGCGAGAGAAGATCTACCCTGGTCAGCGGAAGGCAAGCACAGAGATTTGTTACCACCGTAAAACTCCATCCGATGAGGTCATCGTAAACCAGTATGTGCTGCATCCGTCCACTCCTTGTGAGCCTTTAGAGTGCCCGACTTGTGGTCACATGTACAATTTCACCAACAAGAGGCCACGCATCTTGTCCTGTCTCCACTCCGTCTGTGAGGAATGCCTTCAGATCCTCTATGAATCTTGTCCGAAGTACAAGTTTATCTCCTGCCCCACCTGCAAACGAGAAACGGTGCTCTTTACAGACTATGGCCTAGCCGCCCTTGCTGTCAACACCAGCATCCTCAACCGGCTACCAGCCGAAGCCCTCGTGGCCAATCCAGTGCAATGGAGCAGCGAAGCAGACCGCACCTGCTACCAAACCTTCCGCCAGTACTGTGGTGCAGCTTGCAGTTGTCAGATTCGTAATCCACTCTCTTCCTGTTCAATCATGTAGCTATTTGGCAAGCAGTATTACCTTGGATAGTGCCGATGGTGGAATCCACAGCTACTGGATACCGGCAACCAACTTTCTCTCCAAACTTTGTTACATATCGGTCAAATAGACTTTGTGGTTGACAGTGATATCTAAACCAATTTAGTTTACATCTTTCAATTCATCTCGGTGAACTTGCTTCTCTATGTAGTTTGTCTGTCTCAACTCTTTGACTTCTTCTCTCTCTTTCTCTCTCGTCTTCCCCAGCCTTGACTTATTTCCCTTCTTTCATCTGTCTCTTTTCTTAACAACCTTTTCTAAGTGGCGATGTACATAGGCATGGATGGACGGGTATAGACTGTGACTTGACCATATCAGTAAAAAGTCTCTTTTTCTGTAACCAGCGGTGTCACCTAAGCCCAGTACCAAGCACAACATTTGGTGGTGTACAAAGTCTGGTATTATCAGCTGAGGTTGTCCTGGAATTCCCTCTACACCTCTAGGGAGCACTGCTGTCACCTCTCTCTGTCAAAATTGTTTTGCCAAAGCTTTTGTTTCATTTGCTGACCAAGACAAAAATATGAAATAATAAGAAATGATATATTTTAAATTATTGTATGTATTTAAAAAAAAAAGAAAAAAAAATCACTGCTCCGCATTAACCACTTTGCAGGTCTTTCTTGCATCAGTTTAACCTTTTCACTGCCGAAGAGGTCTACAGTAGATTGCAGCGCAATATACTGGTGATCTTTGCGGCAGCAAAAAAAAAGGAAGGTCGGTTTATGGCCAATGTGTTCTGATGGGAGAATCAGGGTGGGAGGAGTCTATCTCTTGTTTTTGTTGAAGGGTATGTCATGTTTCTCTTTTTTGAAAGGAACCCTGCTATTTAATAGCTTTGCTGACAAGAGACAACTGTTATTGTAGCTAGTCTAAAATATCCATCAACTGTATAAATGGCTACAAAAACACTCAGTTCTGCCGTGCCGTGTCTTTTTTTACCTTCTGATTCTTGTGTTTAGAGAAGAACAAAGCAGGATATTTAAAAAGTGGAAAGTAGTTGAAGTCAGTGCTATTTACCTGTGCTCAGGGAAAAAACGAGAAATATGGTATGCCATTGTCAACATTGTCTGCCATCCTCATCCTTGCTTAGTTGCCTGCATAGATGTTTAGTGATTATCAAGGCAGAGAAGTAGGCAAGTGGATTATTTCCTAGCCCAGAGCATGCATGTTTAAGAACAAGTCTTTATGCCAACAGGTTCCCTTTACCATAATGTTGTAAAGAAGGTAGATGGTGCACTTGGCTCTTCCAGCACAAAGGTCTTAGTAAAGTTTGAGTCGAACACTCTTAAAGTGAATCTGTTCAACCAGATTATAGCCATTGAAGTGTACAGACATTCTCAACAAATAATAAATGGAATTTAAAACAAGCAGTCACAGATACCTGTAGCTGCAGGCGATGTGGAGCAATTCATCCTCAAAGTTCACAGCAAAACCACTGAAGTTGCAAAACTTAAAAGAGAACTATAAGGTGAGTGATTTGCCCGCTATATACTGAGCTTTGGGTCATGGGAGGACATCAGTATATGTCCTTCCATGACCCTAAAGAGAACTATGGGATTAAAAGGTTATCCCATAGTTCTCTTTTAATAGTTCTCATTTAATCTCTCAGCAGCTCAGCTAACCCTGCACCCCTATCCCAGAATTGACTCAGTAGCCCTCCAGTCCTAACCTGTAATGTAAACATACAACAGAGAGAGAGGGAGCAAGAAAAGCTGGGCCCCTGAGAGATAAAGAATTCAGTGCTTCTGTAAATTTTGAGAATGGATTGCTCTACAGTGTCTGCAGCTACAGGTGTAAGTGTGGGCTTGTTTTAAAGTATATCTAAAGCCAAAGCTTATTTTATGTTTGCATAGCACGGTGAAGGGTTAAAATACTTGCCAGTTTTTTTTTTATGTGTCTTAATTGTAAGATTTCGCTTCACTTTCTGTACTGTATAAACAACGGGAAGTTAGAAGAAATATCTCCAAAGTGGGGGAAATCCTCTCTTAAACAGTTGTCGCTGCAACATGTGTCCCGATTGGATAATTATGCTCTATTCCTCTTCTGGTGACTATTTAAGATTTTCCATAACTTTCAGTTCTGTTAACAATGGTCGCCAGGTTAAAAAGAGAAGCTAAATCTCCCCAGAGAGGACAATAACAGCAGTACAAGTCTGACATGGTTCCTTTTCCTTTTTAAACTTACAAAAATGTGGCTTTAAATATACTTTAAAGCCCATTTACTGCTTGTTAAAGTGCACCTTTCAGTAACAAATACGTTCATGATATGTCAATATACAGACAGACATTTGTTAACACAACCAAGAAATGCACAGGCACCACGACTTACATGATTGTGTCATCTCTGAGCCAGCATCTCAGTCCCAAGAGTAGATGGTGACCCTGGATGATGGCTCTGTCCTTCTGGAGAGAATAACAGGTGTAGCCATACTCAGGGAAAGTACTGTGATTTCAATTAGAAGACATTTTAGAAATCATTACCGAAAGTGTTATGCTTACTTAGCATGCACCTTCTTGACTTGAGAAAGATATTGGATGCTAAGTCCTCCTGAAGAATATGCAAAATATTTTAAGGTCCGTACACAGGCCCACAGTTTCACTTTAAGGTCTGTGGGAACACAGCAAGGACCTGCTACGGGAAAGTGAGATGTAAAGAGCTCAGCTCTCAATCATCCCCTTATAACATCATTGTGGCACCAAACTCTCCCACAATCTACTATGACCTAACTAAAATGCAACTGTCACGAGAGTCCGGACACTTTTCTGACCCTTGTCAACAGCATGCATGATCTGAGTCCATGCCTCAAAAGTACTGAAGTCAGATACAGCCAGCCAAATAGCATTTTCATCAGAAGACCAGCAAGGGCGGTTCCTGTTTTTCTTTTATGACAGGTGTTATTTAAAGTGGCCTGATGTAAACCACGTGATATTCTATGATATAAAAGGCAGTTGTTAACTAGAATGCCCAGACTTTGGGAGATTTCCCCTTACTTCCTGTCCTGGTGCAAATGTCTTCACTGGGGCAGGATTTGTGGTGGGAAAATCCTCTAACAAGGACACACTGGCAACAAATATACTTGTTGTTAGGGAAGGCTAGAACCTTTATCATTGTTCTATGCATCCCTCTTAGAGAATCATCTCACTACTTGCTAGAGTGACAGTGAATACTTGCCAAAATTATGGTCTTGAATCCTGGGACCCTGTTAACTGCGCCAACAGTTCACCTTTTATCCTCCCAATTTCTGCATGTCACACCCAAATTACACCTACTTTATAGATTGGTCCCACCCAAACCCCACCTCTAAATATGTATGGATCACCCACTGGGCATTTTACTGTTACAGCACATGTGCAATAACTCAAGTAAGTTTGATCCCAGTGATCCTGGGATATGGCCAGGGATCCCAACAATATTATTGGGCTGCACACAGCTGCCTGTCAGTTGGATCTGCCTCTCCAGAGCCAGCTTTGCCCGCCCCCTCCCCTGTTTGTCCCTCCAATGAGCACTGGAGGAATAAAAAGAAGGAAAAGGGAGGAGTCCCTCTCTCTCCCTGCAGGGAGAAGCCGCAAGCTGAGAAATCAGCGGCTTGTGATTTCTCAATTCTCGAGCTATAGATCTGGCTCAAACTATTAGGAAGAGTATATTTTTACTCTACCAATAGTTTTTCTATAAAGAAATCCAATGGCCACAGTGGGTGGGTGGAACTGGGAGCTGAAGCATAAAGATCTTATCTCCAAAGTCCCCAAAAAATGTAAAAAAACAATCATTAAATTGTTGAACTCTTCAGCATTCATTAAAAACTTAACAAAGGTGCCATCAACTGAAAACCTAAGAAGTGTAGGAAGCCTGTGGGTGGGTGATTGAACCAACCAATTTTTTATACAGAACTGATATATTGGTTCTAGGTGGAATGATCCTTTAAGGCCAGACATGGCTAATCCTGGCAATCATGTGGGGACGTGTTTAGTAAACAGTGTTAGTTTTTTTTTACATGTAGCAGTTGGCAGCTTACAGGTAAATCTAGTTAGGCAACAAGGGATGTTCAGGAATGGACTCTTTAGAAAATAGAAATAATTCTGTTTTGGGAAAACTACGCATGTTCTCCTATTTAAAGAGGAATTCTAGAAGCAGAACAAGCTGCTGACATTGCTAAATAAAGTTGAGAGAAAAATGTTGTAAATGCATTGGAATTATTTGGATTTCCACGTGAGTGGCTCCAAAACGTTATATGATCTTCCTCCAAGACATACAATAAATCCTGTCTTATTTAACAGACAATAAACACATCCTACATCACCATATCTGAGCACCTGATAATAATAACAAGGGTATTAAAAGAGGGAGAGTCAGGTATTGAGATCGAGTCGGGTGCTCAAATTAAATCTAATATGGTTTCTATTATTATTATTATACGGGATTTATATCACGCCAACAGTTTGCGCATCGTTTTACAATATAAGGAAGACATTACAATACAATTCAATCTAAAAAACACTTCTATCATTAGAAACACTTCCAGTTTTGCTTACATGTTCTTTACAACAACACTCTGTTGAAGTGCAATTTAGTCTGAAGATAAGAGCTTGAAAAATAGATTTTTGTGGAAACCTATACAACTGGAAAGGTTTAGCTCTCACACTTGACATACATTATCATCATATTATCAAAGGGCTTAAGATTACTCTGTTACTTTGCTGACTGTTGCAAATGACAACCATCCATTTGCAGGAAGAAAGTACCTTGTGTGACCTGTGATCATTAATTCATTAGAACCAGTTGAACAACACTGATTAGGCAACCCCACATTTCTACAGAGCTGCAAGTGGATCCCTCTGCAAGAGCCTTTGCCGTTTATAGTAGTTATCAAATCAAACAGATATGGTCATTTGGCGTAGGTGCAAAATATGCATATCATTGGGAGAGCAGTAGGAGCACTCATGTGACTCAATTCTTCAATGATAACATCTTCTATTCTGGCTGGCTGCCATCTAAATCAATATCTCTCGGCTTACAAAATTAGAATGGCCCATAGCACAATTTCACTAATGTAAAATCAGATCTATGATTCCTTTCTTTTGTCAAAGCTGGTTTGTTGAAGCATATTTAGCCTACCCTCCTTTTGGTTTCACCAATCCCCAACTAAGTGGTTGATGAACTCCCTTCATGGATTTATGAGTGGCTGACTCAGCTGCCTATATGACAATTTATCAAAACATGGCTAGAAAGATTTGGCACATGGTCCACAGAGTGTTTTTCTTAGGGAATGTCTTATGGCTGTTTCAAAAGATAAAGAGGAGAGAAGATTTACCTGGGTAGAGCATATATTAAGGTTCTATTGAATGTTACATGCCTAGTGACCTGGAGTTCTTATGTTTAACCTGAATGACTTGAATTCACATTTATAAAGCAGCAGTATGGCCTTCCCATGATTATTGTCAGGTGACTGGCCTCTCCTTCAATCACACTGTGAAGTGGAGAAACTTTGTGGGACACTCTGAAGGCTCTACATTGCAACCTACATTTATGTATGGGACCTAGCAGTCTAGCAGAGAGTCTAGCAGATAGTGGTATCAGAGCCACCCCTATGAGGCTAGGTTCACATCTAGGCGATTCAGATGCCGAGCTGTTTCCACGCGATTGTCGCGCGTTTTAGATCGCACGACTGTTCATTGAAAACCGCACGGTTTTCTAAGCATAGAGATATCTATGGGAACCAAACCGCGCGACAACCATCTGAAAATCGCTTCTGAACCTTTTCATGCGACAGGCGATTTCATCCACGTGACAAACAGCAAAGGTGTGGACAGGCTCCATTGATTTCAATGTGAATCTGTGTTTTGCGCGATATCAAACGACCAAATCCGCGCGATAAAACGCCTAGGTGTGAACCTAGCCTAATGAGGCAGCC